GGCAAACGCCCCGCTTTGAAAAGACCCTTCCGTCCGTGTAGCTGGCAAGCGGGTCAGATTGTCCGCCTGTAGGCGTCAGGAAGGCTTAACCAATAACTCTGTTCTGAACATGAACCGCCGCCTGTCGGTGCAACTTTATCAGGAGGGAAAAAAACACAGACACAATTCATCGTCGACCACTAGGAAAATATGGGAAAATATGGGAAGTGGGGGGGGAAGACAGAAACCGTGAAAATATGGGAAAATATGATGAATATTTTTATTTGTGTGTATTTATTTGGGTGTCCTGGGGCCCTTCACTTTAGGTCATACAGTCTAAGGACGTCTGAAGCGCGAGCCCAATTGCGAAAGTGAGGCGCCATCCATCCGTGAAGCTGTTCCGCATTTTCTTGTGATGCGTCATCGCGGTCCTGAGGCGAGAGCTTCGATTTCATTGCGATTGGCTCCGCCGGTTTAACGGTTGAAACTCCAATGACGAACAGGCTCAGCGATGCGGCTTTTGCCACAGTGTGCACGCGTTTCGCCCTCCATTTGTGCACTAGTTGGGAATGCCGAACTTCAGGATCATAAGCGGTTAGGAAGTCTCAGGCGTAACGCTTGGCCAGCCGTGCCGACACGCATGCGGGACTCATTTAGAAAGAGGTGGGGTGTATGAGGATCGGATTGGATGGGCCATCCACGTACGCAAGGTGCACGACCTTGACAGCAGGGGGGGGGAGAACACTGCATGCACATTCCCATTCCAATTTTGTTTTCACCCGGGACCTCTGGACCCCCCAGATGCGTGGCCCCGGGGACCCCCTCGACGTCCCTGCAGGAGGCCCCCCAGGCGTTTCAGAGCTCCTGGAAGGGCCTAGGTAACGGGCCCAAATCGGTCAGGAGGGCAGCCGAACGCCCCCCGAGGGCCCCAAGAGGCTCCAGACACCCACCAGACGCCCGAAGACGACCCAAAGAAGACCCCCGAGAGGCTTCCAAGACGTAGGAAAACAGTAAACTTCCAAGGTTTTGCATGATTTTGGGAATGCCCTGTTCTTCGGCGTTCTGGGCGTCCGAAACAGCCTGGGAGGCTCGAAAATCGCCCAAAAACCATCCGCATGGGCTTCCTGGCAGTCCAAGGGAGCTCCAAGGCGGCGCAACAGGGTTCCAAGATGGCCTAAGAGAGCCCCATGACGGCCCAAGATGGCCCCTAAGACACCCTCCGAAGCATTCCAAATCGTGACCCAGTTGTTCAGGGAGACCGCGGTTGGAGGCAGGGTGGCCCAAGGAAGCCCCCAAAGGCCCCCAGAAGACGCCCAGGAGGCCTGCAGAATGCCTCAAGCAAAACTCGAAAAACTTCCTTGAGCCCCCCAGAAGCTCTCAAAAGAGGAGCCTCCGCAAAAAGAGTTGAGGAGGATGGGGAAGAATCCGCAGAGTAGGCATATGTGTACATAGTCATTTGTGCCATGTATTTATGCATGCCCCCGTGTACCGACACGAATGCGTATCGTCCCACTCTGCCCGATGCCTGTGGCCATGCGGGCTCAGGCGTTCGGCCCGTTTTGAACACTGGTTGGGCGCAGATGCTGGCCCTTGGGCCGTGCACCCTCGACGATGGGCGGCGGGTCAGCAAGGTGCTGCACGAGTGCGACCTCCTCGGCCCGCACCTCGCACTGCAGGCGGAGGAAGCCGAGTTCGAGGGGACCCTCGTGTAGGTGGCGGATGCCGTAGACTTCAGCGTGGAGGAAGCGCGGCAGCCGCTGAGGGACCTCGTGGATCGGGCCGTTGCTGAGGACCCCCTTCTGAAACGCTTGCGGGCGTGCCACGGTTGCCCTGAGCGGGCCATGCTGGACGACGCCGCAGCGCGGCCGCGTAGGAGAGCCGATGCGGGCTGGAGGTGCAGGAGGCGGCTTGGTGGAAGCCTCGCTTGATCGCGCTGTTCGAGGAGATGGGGGCACCCTACCTCGATGCGCAGGCCCGCGTGGACCCGGAGCGGGCGGAGGACGGTTTCACGTGCCGCACATGCATTAACACGGTGAGGTTGTACGTGCGAGCCAGGGGGGTGATGCGCACGTCTCGCCAGGGCGGCTGACCCGTGTGGGCAGACGGTTCCCAATCTGACCCTGTGCGCTTTGGTCTGGACGGAGCGGGTCGCGGGCGTCGATCCGATCGACGGGCTCTCCGCTCGGCCAGAGGCTCAGCAGGTCGTCGCGGACGTGGAGACGCTCCTCGGCGTAAGCAATGGCCCAACGATGGGGGTAACGCCTTTCCCCAGCGCGCTCGTCGGGGCCTCGGAAGGGGTGGTTCTGGACGACGGGCCCGCGCCGTGCCCGCCCGGGGTGGTGTGCCTGCGCGGGGTGGTGTGGCTTCGCCTCGTCAAGGTCGGGCAGTGATGCTGTGCGACGACCGTGGTTGGCTCCCGCCGCAGCGCCTCGCTTTCGTGGACGGAGGGCTAGCGGCCGCACTGCGGCGCGCGAAAATCAGCGGAGCCGCTCGTGGTATTCCTGAGAGTGCTACGCGTTGGGCCCAGCCAGCGTGGATTCAGACGGGCTTCGATCTGTGGCAGGAGATCGCACATTCTGAGAGGGACCACTTCCTGCCCAGGTGCGACGACGCGGGGCTTGTGGTAGTCCGCAAGCCCGCCGTTTTCTCCGAAACATCGGCAGCGGGTCAGGAGGGGCTCTGGGGGATGCTGAAGCCAGCGGCGTGCGTGGGGGAGGAGGTCGAGCTTTCCCTTTCCGAGGATGTCGTGGGATTCTGGACAGAGCCGTGGAGCGGGCGACGATCCCCTTGGCCATGGCGGCGTTGGGGTCTCAAAGAGCGACTGCGACTACCTGGGCAGGTGGTCGCCGGCGGGGGCGGGCGCGTGCGCGAGGACACGCCGCTCTGTTGCGACCGAGCTCCAGCGGCAGTGCGCGGATGTGCTGCGCTCGGTGAGGTCGGGCGTGGCGCTGGACGATTCGGCGGCCATCCCAGGTCTGGCAAACTGGCTGGTGCTGAGGGGGGATTTCTGGGTGCCGAAAGCGGCGAGCAATGCAGCCGAGACCAACGCAGCCCTCGAGGCCTGCGCTGGCGGTTTGGCGACGGCGCCCCAGGACGACGAGGGCGAGCTGGGTGGGGCAACGATCCTAGAGGCCGCCGTTGAAAATTGGGAAGCGGATGACCTCGCACCACCGGCGGGGGCGGCAATGCCCCCGCGAAGAGTGCCGGAGGCAAATCTTGGACGCGACAGCCATGGCGAGGGCAGCTGGGCGAACGTCCAGATCTGTGACCGGGACACAAGCCCTCGGGACACAAGCCCCCCCCTCGAGATCAAGGGCGCCGAGGTGGTCGGCAGCTACCTTATCGTGTGCGCGAAGAAGCGCAATATGGCCAGGCTCCACAAGGTCGGGGGCTGTGGCTTGGCGAACGGCAGGTCGCCGCTGAATTTGATTTTCTTCGATGGTAGTCTAGGCCCGAAGCACTATGACATGGTCTGCCAGATGTGTTTGCGCTTCATCTCGGCCGGGATGGCGAAGGCGGCCGACGTGCGCGAGGGCAGCGACTCGGGCAGATCCGAGCCCAGCTCCGACGGGTCGGAGTGGGCAGTCTGGGGGAAGGCCGCAGCGGCGATGGGCTCCGCATGGGCTCCGCATGGCTCCCCGGGACAGAATCGCGCCGGCCCTCGGCCCCCTGTCGGAGCAGCCGTGAGGGTGCCAGCAGTGGAGGGGCCCCGAGCGACCCATCGGGATTGCCCCCCCCCCCCCCCCCCCCCCTCCCTTCCCCCCTCCCCGCGCGGCTCAGGCGCGAGCGGGTCGCGGGCCGCGCCCGCCGTAATTAGCCCAAGTGGAAAATCGCCCGCGGGGTGGCCCCGATCGCCCGTCGACTGGCGTGCGCCCCCCCGCGTCGACGACGCCCGCCCAGCCCGTGGGGCTCTGTCCGCTGCGGGCGGAGGGGCCCTGGTGTGGGGGGGTGCCATCGCGTTGGGAAGGGTCTTATAGCATACGGGCAGGGCTTCGGGGCTGCGTTGCGTGTCGCCATCGCCCTGCCGAGTCGGGGGGGGCGTTGTTCTGTCCGCTCAGCTCAGACAGCTTGGGCTGAAGCCCGCGTAGTCTCCGGCGCAGTCCCGGTTGGCCCCCGGCTTTGCCTGCGCGGCCCGTTGCGAGGGGCGTCTCGACAGCATGTCGCCGAATGTAGATCTGCGTGATAAGCAGGATCATGCTCTCAAGTTGCCGCGCTCGGGCATGCGCTGTCTCCTCGCGAGGGGGGGCGTTCCGCTGAGCGTGCAGGCGCTGCTGCACTCCTGCGGAATGACGAGCATGGTGAAGTTCGCGAACGTGATGATTTCAGCCGACGACGTCAGAGCGTTCGCCAGGGATGCGCTAAGACTGGACGTGGAGGCTGTGATGGGGCTTCGCGCGAAAGTGACTGCGCTGACGTGCGCGTGGCAGGCGGCGCGCGCGCGGAGCGAGGCGCGGCGGAATATGGGGGGCGAGGCCGACGCCGACGCGCGCCAGGGAGTCAAGCCACTAAGCGTAGCCGATCACCAGGCGATGCGGCTGAACTTCGGGGCGGCGTTCTGGGCGCCCGAGGAGAGCTGGATACTGGCAAGTCCAACCTCGAGATCTGGCAGTGAGGGATCGAGCGCAGGGCGGAGGCACTCGTGGCGGTCTTCTCTGCCGAGGAGGATGGGGGCCCCGCCCTCGCTCTTGGTTGGATCAGCTTGGGGGCGATGCAGTTCAGGAAGGCTGCGATCGTTTGGGTCGATCCACCGCAGGGCCCGGAAGCGCTGCGGAAGCGCGTGGCGCTGTTGAGCACAGGCGCGATCGTGCTCGGTCAGTTCCACGCGAATATGCATGAGCTGCAGGGCGGGAATCCACAGCAGTAACAGGCGTGCCTAGACTACGTGTTGGGGGGGGGGGGGGGGGCACGTCTGCGCACTCGTTGTAAGAACGCGCAGGGCGACGTTGCCGCGCGCCCGACTTGGAACCAGGTACTGCAGCGCGAGCATCTGTGCGCGAGGAGGCCTGGCAGCTGGCGCAGCAATGTAAATTCAGTTCCACGCAGCGCTCCGAAGGGCAATGGGCGACTCGGTGGTCGAGGAGCGGCACTTCGCGACCCCGCAGGCCCTCGCCAGCCCGCGGGCCGCCGCCAGCCAGCAGCAGCCGCAGCAGCGGAGGCTCAGCCCGCCGAAGCAGGTTCTCAAAGACGGGGCACGCAAAGGAGGCGACGAGGCATCCGTCTAGGACATGGGGTCCGCCTCGCAGACGCCGGGCGGCAGGCATATGTGCTCCAGGTACAATTTCAAGACGGCCAAGTGTGACCCGAAGAAATGCCGCTTCCCTCGCGTGCCAGCTCGCGAGGGCGGCGCGCGGGGCGAGGCCCTTTCAGGGCGCCCCGTGGCAGCGCTGCCGATCCAGACCGCCCCGAATTAAGGTCAAGCAGCTGCTGCCGATGCCGCTGGCCAGAGGTGACCCCTGGGCGACGACGATAGCGGCGTGGGGCCAGGGGGGCCGCGCCCCCTGCTGCCGCCGTCCGCAGCTTCTGGCCCCGCGGTCTCAGGGGGCCGCGCCCTCGCGGCGGAATTCCGTGGGGTGGCAGCCCCGCGGGGCGCCGTGCGACCCTTCGGGGCGGGGGCCTCTCCCGGCGCGCCGCTGGGGGGAACAGGTGGCGGTTCGCCGAGAAGGTCATCGGCGGGGGAGAGGCGCCGCGCGACCCCCTGGGGCGGGAGCCCACCCCGCGTGGTCATCTTGACGTCCGCCAGCGACGTCCAGGAACGGGGGGCGTCGCCAAGCGCCCCGGCCGGGGGCGACCTCGACTTAGGAGTGAGCAAACCAACAGGGCAGAGGCCGGGCGCCCCCCCGGAATCCATGAGGCGGGGCGCAGGGTGCAGCTGCGGCTGAAGGCGCTCCACCTCTTCGCAGAGCACAAACGACGAGCAGATGTCGCGGCTGTCTTGCGCAGCCTCGGCTTGCAGGCGCACCTCGAGGAGGTGGGCCTGGCCAGGTCGGACAACGCCGATCTCTCCGATGCAGCGCTGGGCGCCTGCCCCAAGATGCTGACAACAGGTGAATGAGACGCGCTTGTGGACTCGCCCCCCTGCGGCCTCTGGTCCGGAGTCGCGCGGATGAGCCGCCGAGGACCGCGCCCAGTGCGGTCAGAGAAGCACCCCTGGGGCTTTCCCTGGCTGGAGGGGCGTGAAGCGCTGAAGTGCCAGGTGTCCAATTTGCCCGTCGACTTCGACCTCTGCGCGCTGCAGACCCAGCTGGCGAGCATCAAGCAGGCGGCCGGCCTCCGGGGCAAAACGTGGACCGCGGCGCCGTCCACTTGGGCGAGTTCCGCGGTCAACGTCCCGCCGGCATGTGGCAGCTGCCAGTGACAGACGGGTTCTTCGCCCTCGGCTGCGCGCACGCGGCGGCCCTCCATCAGAGCAGCTTCGGCGCGCCGTTCCCGAGGCCGGCGCGCCTCATTGGCCAGTTTCCGGGGCTGGCCGCCGACCCGCGGCTCTATCGCTGGAGGCTGCATTTCGCTGCGAACGGCGCGTGCCGGGGGCTGCTGCCGCAGCCGCCCGCCGGGCTCCAGTCGCTAGATCGCGGGCGGGGCGACTCCGCGTTCAAGACCGAGGGCGCCGCGACCTGGCCCCCGCAGCTGTGTGGGTGGGTGGCGCATGGCATAGGCGGCTTGGCACAGTGGCTCGCTGCCTATCGTTGGAGGGGCACCATCTCGCTCTTCGCGGAGTGGCTCACGACGAGGCCGGATCTGCTCGCGGCGCTCTCGGAGCTCGACGGCGCTACTCTCAGGGGCTACTGCGACGTGAACTCCGGCTGACGCGCGGATGCAATCGTCGCGGAATGGCGGGGGGGAAGAGGCGTGTGACCGCGAGGCCCCCGCGCCAATTTGGAAGCGCAGAGCCGCCTCGCTGCTCCGAGTGCATCGAGGGCCCGAGAGGATTGACGACGGCGCATGCCGTCTCTCGCCTGGCCGCTGGGACCCAGACCTTCGGTAGTCCCCGAACTGGAACGGGCAGAGGACCGACCTGTGTGGAGGTTTGTTGGGCGGATGCGTGGCCGCAGAACGTGCGCCTTTCGAGCTGGCGGTGCAGGCGCGCCAGGCCAGCGCCGACCAGAGTGAGCCCGCCGACCCGATGGGGAAGGAGCTCCACGGGGACCCCATGAGGATCCTCGGAGGCTGGCTGGGGGCAGAGCTGCGGGCAGGCCACGGCGACGACTTGGGCTGCGTCGACACCTGTCGCCGAGGGGCAGCCCATCCCCCCCCGTTTGCAAGCGGCACTTTGCGCGAGGCTGGGGGCCCAGACGCGACGTTGATGAAGGAGCTGGAGACGGGAGTCGCGGCGGGCGTGTTGAGCGAGCTGCCCCAGCAGGGGGGCCCTTCGAGAAATTCGCAAAGTGGCGTCTCCACCAGGGGGCTGCCGGCTGGGCCGCCCCAGAGGCAGCCAAGTACAGCAGCGCGGAAGACCGCGTCGGTTGGCTCCGAGAACACTTCGCGGACGAGGTGAAAGCGGGCAGGATGATCAAGATGTCCAAGGAGCAATTGCGCGACCGTTTCCACGACAATTTCGCCATCGCGGCGCCGGCAGTCATGGAGAGCGCGAGCGGCAAGAAGACTTGGCCACGACGGCGCGCGCGAGGTCGCCGTGAACCGCCGGATTCGATGCCGAAATCGACGGACGATGCCGAGGCCCGCGGAGAAAACTTTTTTCTTGAGGTACTTCGAGCACCGGCACGAGGTCATCTTCGCATTCGCCACCAACGGCAAGGGAACGCACCGGCATGTCAAGATCCGCGAGGGCAAGTGGGGCATGCTGGCCTGCGAGTTCGAGGGCGAGGTGTGCTTCGCAGCGCATCATAATCGTGGACTAGGTTATTCGGCGCCGTGCCGCGGCATATTTTCTGTTTTTTGGGAGGTGACTGGCCAATAGAATATCACACCTACGCCGACGACGTGGAGGCGATCGTCGCGGGGAAACAAGGGCGACTGGCAACGTTTTGCATGGTTGTCTTACTCGGCGTCCTCGGTTTCCTGGCGCAGAGGGTCAAAGCGCGGGGCGGTCTCAGGGTGGGCTGGATCTGTCTCCGCTGCGACTGCGCCCAGTGCACCATGGGCCTCTCGGAGGCCCCGCCTGGTACGCGGAGGCGCTCGAACGCGGCGCCGTCCACGCGGGCGAGGTGGCGCCGGGTTTGGGGTGCCTGGGCTTCGCGGAGATGCTCCTGGCATGGGGGAAGCCGCTACTGTGGCTGGTGTGTGCCTGGCTCGCCAGCGTCGCGAGGAAGGACAGGGGGCGCGTGGGCGACCAGGCTTTTGCTGGCGTGGGTCCGCAAGCGACTGGCGCGTAGGCAAATATTGGAGTTGCCCATCAAGTTCAGCGCCGAGAGCGTCGGGCACGGCCGCTCGGATGCGAAGGCGGAGGGGGGGGCGCTGCTGGATGGGCGGCTGGGAGGTGCCGCCGAACGGCGGCGCGAGATGGGGCTCGCTGGTGCGCGCGGGAAGTAGAGACGGAATGGTTCCCTTGGGCGTGGCTCAAGGCAAGCGGCCCGAACGTGGTCATCGCGGCGCTCGAGTTCATTGACGCGATCTTCTTCGAGAAGCCGCTCGCGAAGCCCGGGGGGCGCCGCCGGTGGGCGACCCTCGAGGTGGCTGGGTCGACGGACAATCTGGGGAACGCTTGCGCGGTGAACAGGGCCATGTCGACCATGTGGCTGCTGGCGGCCCTCCTCGTCGATCTTGCGAAAGGTCTGAGGTCGCGCGAGATGGCGCGGGGCCTAGACTGGCTACTTCGAGAGGATTACCAGGAGGTGGGCGATCTCAGCAGCGTGAAGACGTTGGACATCGGCCAGCCCCTCAGGGTCCACGTGGCGGCCGCAGAGCTTAAGCGGCACGTGCTCGACGAGATGGCGCAGGCCTCCCGGGAGCTCCACGAGTCGATCGTCGAGGAAAGGGCGGCCGCCAAGGGCAGGGCGCCCGCGGCGGGCTGCGGCCAGATGCGGCGCGGGCGCGCGCGCTCCTAACGCCGCGTTGACAGCGCTTCGCGCGTGCGGAGCCGGAGGCGGCGGCGGCGGCGCGCGGGGCCCCGTGCGACTTTTCTATGCTGGGGCCCAGCGCGATGTTCTGTGGTGGTGGTCTTGAATCCCCGCCCTCCGATTGGCGCCGCCGCGGGGACGGCGCCCCCCTCCACCACTCCATCCCCCTTCTTTCCGCCGCGTCGGCGGGGGGCCCTGGTGACGTGCTGGCAGAGGTTTTAAAGCATTAGCAGAGGGGCCTGGCCAACTTGACTGGGCGTTGTACATGTGCAAGGAGGCCTGGGGGCATGCCAGCGGACTGGGCTTCGTCTCACGTGTGCGCGCTGCGCGAGGAGGGCGACCCTGTGTGATAACAACCGGCCACTTTCCATGCAGTGCATTGCCCTGGAGGCGTTTCCCCGCGATGCTGAAGAACCGCTTGCTCGCTGCAGGCGTGGAAGAACTGATCTGGAACAGTCAGTTTGGCTTCCAGACACGGCGCGGCGCGGCGCGCGCCATCGACGTCGCGCGCCGGCGGATCGAGCTGGCTCGAGCGCGCGAGCACGGCGCGGTGACCCTGGTCGCCCTCGATTGGAAAAAGGCCTTTGACAGTGTGCGCACGGAAAGCATGCTGGACGCACTTCCGAGGCGGGAATTTATCCATATCCACCGCCTGGAGGGTCAGTTTCGGAGCCCCGCCCGCTGGGGCGCCAGGGCGTCGGTTCCCAGGCGGTGGATATGGATGAATCCCCGCCTCGCAGCACTGCGCCGGATGGGCCTCTCGCCAGAGTTCACGAGCATGGTAGAGTCACTCATGGCGCAGAGGATTTTCGTCGTCGGCGACTACGGAGTCAGTCGGGTGAACGCCCCCAAGTATCTGGCATCTCCCAAGGCTGCGCGCTGAGCCCTCTGCTACTCGATCTCGTGATGACAGCCTTAGTGCATGTGGCGTGCGACGCGGGCGAGCTGTCCGATTGCGCGCGCGCCGACGACACTCTGTTAATTGTTAGGTGCGGCGCGCGCGTGAACAACTTCTTGGCGGCAGTCGCGGCTGCAGGCAAGCGGTGCGGCATGGATCTGCACCGGCAGAAGTGCCAGGTCTTGTCAGCGCAGTCGGCCGGCGACGTCCGTGCCCCCGATGGCTCGCAGATGAATCACGTGGAGCATTTGCGGCACTTGGGCGCGCAGCTCACTGCTGACGCGAACATGGGCGACGAGTTGGGCAGACAAATGGGGGGCTTGACGCTCATTCGCGGCTCTGCGCAAGGTGTGGTCCCATTCGTCTCTTACCTGGAATCGCAAGCTCCGCGTATATGCTTCCATCGTCGAGTCGAAACTGCTGTGCGGGATCAACAGTGCGTGCTTCGCGAAAGCGCTGCTGCGTCGTCTCGACGGATTTCTAAACAGATGCTTGCGAACGATTATCGGGGTGAAACCGTCGTACATACCACGTATTTCCAAATGGGACGTCTTGGCGAGCGCAGGATGTGAAGCGGCCGGCACGCAGTCACTGTTCCGACAACTACATATTTTTGGCCAAGTGCTTCGCGCCGGTTCGCCGCCAGCATGAGGCTGGCCACGGAGAGGTGCGCGAGGCGAGTGGGCCACCCGCGCGAGGAGTTCGTTCCCGACGTGTCCAAGCGCGCACTGAGGATTTGTGGCAGCATGGCAGCAGCGGCGCATGCTGCCTGCGCCCCGGCGCTCTGGGAGCGCCGATGCCGTCAGCGCGTTTTCCTTTGGCGCCACGTGTGCGCCCTGCCTGCTTGGAGCGCTTTATTTTCCACCCGTGCTCACGCCCGTGTGCCGCCTGGTGTATGGTCAGTTTGACTGCCTGTCTGTTTGGCGGGGGATCCAGGGCGGGCTGTGCGCCCCCCTGCCGCGGTGGGAAGGTGCGGAGGGTTTCGAAACCGCACCTGTGCTCCGCTTGGACGGTGCGGTGCGGTGGGGGGGGGGCGGCGGTGCCTGTGGCATGTGGCGAGGAGGGCGAGCTGCGGCCGGCATGCCTCGACGCTAGCGGCGTCTGGTGGAACCCCCTGCGGGGGCGAACCCCCCCGCGCCTCCAGGCCTCTGCCCCTTCCTCACTGGTGGCCCACTCGCATCGCTGAAGGGGGGCTATCAAGTTCCTGGGAGAGGTTCGGGCCCTTGCGCTGCAGGGTCCTCGTTTCTGCCCGCGTCAGGGTCCCTCGCCCCTCCTTTACCGCCATCGCACCGCTCCGAAGGCAATTCGAGAGTAGGCCCCCGTGTGCCAACACGAATGTGTATCCTCTCAGTCTGCTCGATGCCTGTGGCCATTTAGGCTTAGGCGTTCGGCCGATTTGGAGCAACCAACCCACCACCCTGGGACATCAAGTTCGTGGAAGTGATTCGGGCCCCTGCGCTACAGGGCTCCCGTTTCCGCCTCGCGTAAAAAGGCATCGTTGCCCCCGTTTTTAAACCATCATCGCACCGCCCACAGGGCCTTCCGAGGATATACATAGTAGGTATGTATGTCTGTACGTATGTATATATGCATGTATGTGCGTATACATGTATGTTTGTTTGTATGTTTAGACGCATATATGTATACATGTTTGTATGAATGTATGCGTGCACGCACATATATATATATATATATATCGATATAAATAAACGTACAGGCGTATGTACATCATTTTTAATATAACTTAACTTCGTTTGGTACAGTTTGCGTGTATGTATATATATATATATATATATCTGCATATGCATATGTACATATAAATTTACAGGTGCATACACATAAACATACACACGTACACACAGGTGTATGTATGTATGCCTGTTTGCC